TGGGGAACGGATGCGGGTGTTGTTTTTTTTTAAAACACTTACTCTGGATGGAAAGTAGCACGGTTTTAAATAAACGCTGTGGCCCACGTGTGAAGTCAGGCACAGTGTAGTGGAGCCCGGTTTTACGAGGCGCCTAATCTGTATTTTAGCATCCTCAGTAATTGTGATCTGTGTTGAGCACAAACTGGTTTGTAAGACCCTAACTTGAGACAGAAAAGCTTGGAATAATCAGGTCTTAACATGATCGAGTCAATGGAGTTAGTCGATATATAATGGCAAATATTTTAATTCTCTTACCTTGATCTGGATTCGTGCTTAAAAAAATGTTTTATGTTTCATTTTTCAAACAAGAAATTTTAGATCAGTCCATGGCATTCTCAAGATAAAGCTGTATGGCTTAATCTATCAGCTTTAATTCTGCAAGAGTGGCATCACCTTTGTCAGGTTCTCCCTGCCACCTTCTCCCATCTGCTTGAGTGCCAGCTCTTGACATTTGTGTGACTCTCCACTGAGCCAGTACAGCTCCTGAAACCCTGAAAACTTACATCAGGGAAGATGTTTAATGTTTGTAGTTTCTATTGGTTGGTGAGCTGAAATGGCTCGCCAGCTGCACAGAAAAGCATCAGACTTGATTCAAGTGACAGGGTTACACTGGGAGTGATTAGTGCACTCTTAGATCAACTTCACAGGATCTAGTGCTCATCTATCAGTTCACTTTCTCAGGAAGGAGATGGACTGTAATTTTCCTTTACTGATATACTATGAAAAAATGAAGGGTGTAGTTTCTCGGCTCACTAAGTCTGTTTCATGAGTAGCGAGCCAGGTGCAATAGCCCTACCACTTGTTGGCTAACAGAGGCACTGCTTTTAAAATTTAAAACATGGGTTATGTATCACCATTACTTTAACACAGCATAAATCAGTACTGCCATCCAAAAGCCAGCCCTGAAATGTTGTGAATTGTGATCCCAAAGTGGCAGTGTCTGACATTGGAATGGGCCAATCTAACACCTCACTGACACTGCAATAGTGAGGCACTAATCCAGCAGGATCTAAAGTCTGGGAGTAGACAGTAGGATGGAGAGTGGGAAGCTTGATTCTGAGAAGAAAAAGTCATTGTAATTTCACTTGTCTGATATATATTAGAGCAGATAATATTTGAGTCTCAAGTTATAACTGATGCTATCAGCTAATCAATGACTCATCATGAGGTGTGGATTGAATTCAAAATTTTCTGAAATAATTTAATCAGGAAATAAATTCAGAGGAGCTCCATGCTGTAACTGCATTTAAATTTAGCTGCTCATTTTGCCTTCATGTTTTACTGAGTGCTACCTTTTTGAGATTCATAATGACAACACTTTTCACACCAAACCAGTAATTTAAGTAATGACTTGGACCTATGTTAGCATTCATAACTAACTCAGGATGTTGAATCTTAGCAGCAAAGGTGCTAATCAGTAACTATTTTTCTTGTTACCAGTTTTTTGTGAACAACTGCTTCAAGATTAATTTAACCAGCCTGATGGATTGTTCTCCACAAGGAAGGCACATTAAGAGAACTCAGAAAGAGCCCTGGAATCACAAGGAAGTCTGAAAACAAAGGGCACAGGGGAACTGAGAGCTGTTTCCCAGTCACAGTGTGTCTCTCCACTCCAGGAGACTTTCATTTGACCTCCTGTTCAGGATACTTTTAGGTCTCAGCCTCAACTCAGGGATTACCAGGTGTGTTAACTAGGTAAGCACTCAGGAATTAGGTCACCATGGACATAAAGATGTGCCCAGACCACACCGGTTGGGTTGGTACACGACAGCAGGTCTAAGTGTGTGCTTCACCTGATGGTTTGGAAACTAAAGCGGGAGAAAAGCAAAAGTTTCTTGTGAACTGAGGCCTTGTGTGAGTGCGTAAAACTTCAAACTTTCAACACTCGCAGCAGTAACATAGTGACACTTGCAACACGTGAGAATTTTCCACCATTTCTTTATTCCAAAAAAATCTGTTAAAAATAGATATATGGCTACCTAAAAATAAAGGTATTTTCATTGTTTTAAAGTGTTTAATGTTATTTTTGAGATTCAAATGTTTAGTAAGAAAAGCTAGAAAACTTGGTCACAATGCAGTGTGTTTTGAAAGCAGAAGTTTTTACTTAAATATGTAACTTCATATTATGAAGGCAGTAAACTGCAAGAGTTACTTGAAAGCAAGGGAGACCAGTTGCTGAAGACAAGCATTTGGATTATGACATAAATTACAGTTATTGCTGTAGCTCCAGTACCTAAAGTGTGATGACTAGTTGTGGGGGCAAGGAGAAACTTGTGGATATTGTGTATTTTGACTTTACCAAGGACTTTGATACAGTCTCCCACAGTACCTTTATAGCCAAATTGGTCAGCTGTAGATTGGAAATGCGTCTGTCCTTGAACAGGCAGCAGCCACGAGCATTGAGGCCATGCTGCTGAGAACACAGCTGCGCTGGGCAGGGCACGTCTCCAGGATGCAGGACCACCGCCTCCCTAAGATCGTGCTCTATGGGGAACTTGCCACTGGCTGCCGCAAGAGAGGAGGCCCGAAGAGGAGATGCAAGGACTCCTTGAAACAATGTCTCAGCCTTGGCCATATTGATCATCATCACTGGTCTATTCTGGCCTCCAATCAGGAGACATGGAGACACACTATTTATAATGCTGCTGCTTCTTTTGAGAACACACATAGAATCATTCTTGAGGAGAAAAGACAACGCAGAAAGAACTATGTCTTGTTGATATCACCTGGGGAGTCTTTCCGCTGTGCCTTCTGCAACCAGACTTGTCTATCTTGCATTGGCCTTTTTAGCCATCAGTGCGCTTGCAGCAAGCGCGGGTTGAGCCCTTCTCAAATCTTCGTTTGCGAAGCCCAGCCATGATGATGATGATGATATTGGAAAACTGGGTAATAAGACTGACGGAAAATTGGCTGGGCCATCAGGTTTGAAGTGTGATCACCAGTATGACTACTTGACTTGGGGATCAGTACCCGAGCCAGTACCCTTAATTCGTCATTAACAGCCTGGAAGACTGAGCACCTTCTCAGCAAGTTTGCTGATGATGATGAATTGGGAGGAGTAGTTAGTACACAGGGAGGCAGGGCTACCATTCACAGCAGGGTGTACAGCCTGGAAAAACAGGCTGCTGAAAAGAACCTAATGAAATTCAACAAAAAACAAATGTGAAGCCTTATATCTGAGACAGGAAAAACCCATGGATCAGTACAGGCTGGAGGCAGTAACTAGAATGCAGCTTCATAGGAAAAGACACAAAAGGTCTCTGGTGAACAAGCTGCCATGAGCCAGCAACAGACCTTGCACAAAGAAGGCCAAGCCTGGGCTGCCTTAGGAAGGGCTTGGCCAAGAGCCTGGGGAGGTAGTTCTTCCACTCTGTTCAGTACTTGTGGGACCACATGCTGGAGTGCTTAGCTTTGGACTCCCAAGGCTGCCTTAGGTCAGGGACTGGCACATATGGCCTTTGGTCAGTCTGGAGAAGGCATAAGGAGATCTTAGTGTTGTCAACAGCTATGTAAGAGGAAAGTATAAAGAAGACTGAGAAGTCCAAGTTTCCTCCAGTGTGCATTCATGTGCACCAAAATTCACATGAAAATCTTTGGCTTAGTATAAGGGAGAAATATTTACCTTTATCAGAGGCAAGCTGGGCAAAGGTTGCCCAGAGAGGCCATAAAGTCTTCATTGTTGGAGATAATCAAAATGTGAGCAGAATTGGCAGAATACTGTGCTCCAGCTGGACCTGTTTTGCAAAGAAGGGTAGATTACAGACCCCTGGAGTCCCTTCCAGCACCATTCTGTGTTAAGCTGGTCACCATGTTTTAGTGGAAGGTACTTTTACCAATTCTTTTTAAAGGATTACAGATTCAGTGAGGGAACATTAAGAAATAAGCTGTTGTAAGTTGGTTTTAAACCAGTATTAATAAGCAAATCAACCCACTCTTGGAGTCTAGAGTAATCTATTCAAATACAAGTGTTTAGACTTGAGGTAAAAACAGTGGTTTATACCTACAAAATGATGAAAATGCCACAGACAGCAGTAGCTTAGAATGACTTAGAGGTCACTAAAAGTATTCCCAAGACAAGATTTGAGACCAATATTATAGCAGAAGAGACTCTGAATAAATTTGGAAATAGAAATTAGAAATACGGTAGTAGTTCATGAAGTACACAGTAAAGAGTCTTAGTAAGACTTCTTCTAGGACTGCCAAACATCAAAAGATGTTCAGTGTCCAAAGAAACAGAAATCGAGCTGTGAATAGAAAGCAAACCTAAGATATGAGGTTAAGGGAGCTTAGTGTATAAAAGGGAGAGCTGAGGTTAAGTTAAGGCCATAAGTGTGAGAAGACTGTTGTATATGGTAGAGGAAGTGGGGAGAAGCCCATGGATTTGCTACCCTGGACCAAACTAGTGACAGCTGAAGCAACGTAAGTTCAGTAGCATCATATTCAGCTGTGAGAATTAACTAAACTTTGAAATAATGTTAAAGGGGAGATCATGGATGTATCACATTACAAACTGTAAAATGGGGTAGTCATGATTAAAAAAAGTCTCAAAGTAGATAAATACTTTTTTGAAAGACTGTGTACACATGAAGAGAACAACAGCAGGTTGAACAGGTCAATAATGCTTGCCTGATACCAATGGCATTTAAATCTTTTTTTACTCTTAGTCTCTTGAAGACCTTGATCTTAACTGTTGTTTTAAAAAAACCTGTTTTTTGGTGGTTGATAGGTTTTAGTAGCCTTTAACCAGTTACACACACTGGCAAGTGGCAGACTATAGTAACAGAAACTCTTGCAGCATACTTTCAATGCACCTTTTTAGTCTGAAATATTTTAATTGATGAGCTTGTTTGTATTGTAGCCATACCTCAAATACTGTTATTTTATTACTTCAGAAGTCCTAGGTTTTCCACTCACTGATCCGTACAGAAGCTTCCTATCATAAAAAGGTCATGCACAGATTAACCAATTTTAATTTCATCTTTATTTCCATTAATCAAAGTTAGACTTCAAGTGGTTAGATCCTTTGTTTCACATTTCTCACCCTACAGCAGCTACCACAAAATGTGCACCTATTACAATTTTAATAGACATTAGTTGTTACTGTGGGTTTTTTTATCTGATACAAATATCACTTGCTAACAACCATTTAGATGTTTCTCCATTCACATGAAATGGAAATAAGTTGTAAATTGATGGCATTCTGTTTGTTGCAGGTACAGCCAATATTAGAATGTGCAGCAGCTTTAAAACTCAATAGTGAACTGTTAAATAAGTAGCAGTGCCAAAGCATCTCAAGGATTTGATATACTGAGTTATTTTACAGTGCTACAAACAGGATTGCAAATCTACACAGTAGTGTCTATTCTACACACATTTCTCCATTAAAAGGGCCTGCCTTTGTACTCTTTTTAAAGATTTCATACCGTTGTGCAACTATGAATTTAATGGAATAAAGATGATGACTGTTAGAACTATTTGTTCAAATACACACTGTCTTCCATTAGGAGGCCATAATATATAATATGAATCTTTCTCGATTGCCTGCAAAGTACAGAATGCACAAAAGTTCCTAGTGCCTTCTATAGAATATTTTCACAGAAAAATAATTTATGCAAAAACATACGTCTCCTCTCTACATAAAAATCTGAATTTCAAATAATCTTTGTATATTCCATATAGACTCAAGTGGAAAATGCATTTTTCTAGAGCTGTAAATACTCTCTTTTAAAATAAATGGTTGGTATCTTTGGTTTACTTATATGCTGGATGAAAAAAGAAGTTTATAAGGGAATAACTGCCTGAGGTTCATCTTTCATTTCTCCTACCATGAACTTTGGATAAGATTAGCTGTTTGGTAGCTGAAAAGATAAATTCTCTATAAAACAATGAAACACAATGCTTATTTTAGTAGTGCATATTAAATAAGACAAGGCTAGGTTAGTAAAACTAACTCAAGGATCGTTATAAACCCAAAACTAATAATTCTACTTGTTCAGAATTAGTAATCCTACTTTTTCAGTATCACCACCTTCTTTATAAATATAAAGTGTTACAAAAATATTCACAGTAGTATTACTATTTAATCTATTATTCCATATATTATTTTGAAAAAGTGCTTACAGAGGCAAGAATATGAACTGCAAACTGATAATCTTCCAGCTGCCTAAAGCCCCGATCCAGTTGTTTTAAATCCTTGTTCAATACAGAACAAGGAGTTGACAACTTTCATTTTTCCTTCTACAAATGCTCTCCCTATTTTTACATTTTCATGTCAAATTAGGTAACAGTTGCTTGAAAAGTAGTGTGATTTATGTTCAATTGCAGATGAGCAATGTAGTTACTTGTAAATAGGAAGTTTAATCTCTAATGTAAGGCTTTGAAAAATATTTAATTGCTTTCATTTTTTATCCTTCTTCTCATTATCCAATACTTTATATTCATCCAGCACAGCATGGCCAGTTTCCTTTGCAGTTCTCTTTACAACAGCTTTGATACCGATATTTTCAATGTTAAATGCTGTCACACCAACATTGATTGCAGAATTCATAGCATTGTCTGTAGCATGGCCAGCATCCTCTCCATACCTAAAGAAAGAAAGCAGTTTTGCAGATTTGTATACTTAGTTTTTTAATCTTCACTGGAATTCTTTTGAAAGTGGAAATTTAGGCATTACCAAGAACAACTAATAAGCACAGAGCCTGAATGTCTTAAGAATAAAATTAGAAATTACAAAGCCATTTGAGTAAGGGCTGCTCCTCTATCAGATAGATTACCCTTTAAAAATACCAGTATGCTTCTGCCCTTCTTCCTCAAAAAACCTTCCAGTTTTTCTCCCTCTTTTCTCTCTAGTTTTGAAGAGTAGATGACTTATCTATAGAACCATAAGAAGGGGAAGGGGAGAGAAGTACAATAACCTCTAAGTTTGTACGTAATATTCGTATACCCTCTATATAGAAAGCCAACTGTATCCTGGGCTGCATCAAAAGCAGTGTGGCCAACAGGTTGAGGGAGGTGACTCTGCCCCTCTGCTCTGCTCTGGTGAGACCCCACCTGGAGTACTGCACCATACAAAACTCCAAAAGGCTCAACAAAGCTATCTTGAGGCTATGACAAAAATTACAAAGAGATAAAGACCTTTGGTCTCTCCCATGGGGTGTGGGTCCAGTTTCTTTATGCTTTAGGGGGAGATCATTGGTCTCATATTAATTAACTACTTAATATACTCAACTGTACAGAGAGAGCATACTGAAGGAGGACATGAATATAGTGAGAGCAGTAACTCCAACTGTTCCAGGCAGCCAGACATTTCCCCAAAGAGCACTGCAGTCAGACAAACCAGGCCAAAAGGAAGTATTCCTGGCAGCATCAGAATTCCAGCAGTCAGCAGAGTCACTTTTTCCCTATGTTTTTTTATGACCAGAGATTCTTTGAGGAACTCAAAATAAGGCCAGAGAGAAGCACAGAATATCAAAAAATCCGAAAATCTATAATATTGTCAGTTCAGCAGTCAGAGCATATGGCTGGAACCAAGAATGAAACCAAATAAAAAGAGTTAGTGGGGGTTTTTTTGTTTTACTTTTAATTCTCTGATAGAGCAACAGCCTTGAATCACCAACACTGGATCTGCAGATCATAGAATTAATCTCACAGCAAAGTGCAGTATTTGCCAATTTAATTAGTTATTTTCACCTCAGGAGCATCATAATCCAGTATATAATATCAGCAAAATAGGTAACCTCATTTACAGTAAGACTGTAGTTTATACAATACAGTAAAACTAATAACTTCTTAATATCTGATAACTAAGTTTTTAGTTTGCCTGTCTCAATTGCATAATTAACCTTTTTTTAGAGAAAAAAGTTGTGCAGAGGTGTATACTGCATTTTTTTAAATTGCTTGTAAAAGAGACAATAGCATGAGACTTGAAATATTACTTCTGAAGTTATGTTTTCCCCCAATTCCAATCAACATGCAAATGATGAATATCCCTCTATATTTCCAAAGGTATTGTAGCTAGGTTTTAGCCAATTTTTTTTTTATTTGGAGACACTATGGTGGTGCTCTTTTAGTCTTGTTTCCATTAAGGGGAATTTAGCTCATTCACTGGTATTCTGAATGGCAGAAATCTTTGTCAATGACAAAAAACAGCCTCCGAAAGAGAGATTATGTAGAATTTTAATACAATTATAAAGATAGGTTTTAAAGATTAAATATAATATTCCATTGTATTGCAATTAGCTGAAACATTTAATTACTTATTGTTTTTCACTCAGTATCTGTTGTCTGCTCATCTCCGTATTTTCTGTTTTTATATCTAAAACAAAAACATTAATTTGAACTTATGTGAAATGAGTACCAGTACAATACCTCCTGACATTCCTACCTACCGAAAACAAACATTAGCAATAAAGCACCACTGACTAGAACTTCACTATCTGGCTTCCTATTTGGAATGCATCACAACACAACCCTGAATACCAATCTGGTTAATACTATATGCTGATGTTTATCTTGTTACCTTCTGCTAGGAGCTTGTATGCACCTTCAGCCAACCCTTTTTAGTATCTCTTTTGCTATGATTATTGCCTGTTCCATTTAACCTACATGCTTTGGCTTACTCTTCACTTTCTATTAAACCTACTGCACTTTTTTTGAGGGGTGCATTTCCTATCTCTCACAATTATTTCAATTCCCTTTTTCTCCATAGCATCTTCCAGTACATTTGCTCAGCTTTCATCCTTCCATCATCTTAGAAACATAATCTTAATCCCAAATGTCACTTTCCTCTTCCCCCACTATCTTTTTCTAAGAACATCTGTATTTTGCAAGTCGAGGCTGTTCTGTTATTGCTATTTATGCCTTAGATTTCCTTACACAGTTTTCTTTTCTTGTACCTCCTCACTATAGCCAGACCTGCTGACAGATGAACTTCTTCAATTTTTCTTAACTTTAGCTAAGTTTGCAAAAATTCAGGATTAGAGCCAAGAGGTTTAAACCAGTAACTTTTTCATAATGACATTATACTGTAGAGCGAAGATAAAAATCTGAACATTACTTGTGACATAGCCTGAAGCTGTAATACTTCTGCAAGAGAGCTAAAAAAATACTTCACACATTCACTCATTTCATATTTTTGCTTACAGGAAAGGCTCATTACTGTGCACTTAACACCTTATAATGTATGACGTAATTATAGCAAAGCAGGTATTTCAGATAGTTTCCCTGCACTTTCATAAGCTCTTTTTTTGCCATTATTCAAACAGAATGACAATGTATCCCAGAAGATAAAATCAATAAAAATATAACTTACTTGTATTTGACAGTTTTTACAGTCTCAGTTGAAACACTTTTAGCAATGCACTTCGCTGCACTTTCTAAGCCTTGCCACACTGTTGATAACCCTGTAAAAACAATCAGCTTGAGTTCACAGCTTCAGAACAATGCAATTTTAAAAAGTATAAGGAATTTTTATTACCTTGAACTCCACTTGCTGCTACAACCAGAGCACCATCAAAAGTGGATTTGCCATCTTTATCTTTCTTAAGGGATTCTGGAACTAATTTGCTGCCATGCTTCTTCACATGTGGAGCCAGCTCCCTTCCGACACAGCTCGCTATAGAACACACTCCCTCAACTGCCAAAAAACAATGGCATGCTGATTATTCACTAAGAACACAGAACATCATCCACACTTAAGTACCCAACTGATACAAAGCAACCTTATTTTTCAGATTCTGCACAGCTTCAGATACTAAGAAACAAGTAAGGTTGGTCTTGTGTCTAAAAAGTGCTTTAAAAGAAATACACATCTCACACTTCAAATTTCAAGAAATTGATTCTATTGCTTTGTTATCCTGACCTTGTAGATGGGGAACAAGCTGCTGCTTTCCTGATTTGTGTTCTGTAAGAGTCTTTCTTAAAATCATTCCAGCTCTTCAAAGTAGTTCTATAACAATTTGCTTTAAAAGTTGGATGAGTCACTAGACAGTAAATATGAACATTATATGCAATTAAATAACAAAATGAAGTTATTGAGAGCTGTTAGGGTTGCCAAGCACCTCTGAACACCAGGCCATTCCTATCTGGAAATTTATATGTAGTCATATAGATTTGTTTCGGGTGTGTGAGTTTAAAAATATACACAGTGACAGCAGAGCTTTTAAAATACGTGGTTATCAACTTAAGGAAAAAGAGAGACAATATTCAAATTAACTGTCTAAAACTTTCAAAAGTATGTCAAACTTAAGACTATACAGACTACTGTTTTAGGGAAGAAAAAGATGTCTCAAGGCCAAGCAATAAATACGAGTCCTGAAGCATGTCTGTTGCAGGAGATAACTAGGCACAAACTACTGATCTCTGGATTTCATCAGGTCAGTTCCTCCTCCTGTTAACTGGCTAGAGAAACCAGCTCTCATTTTACAAAGTATTTATTATTTAAGGCAAAAAAATATATACATTATGAGATGGAAATTTTTACCTAAGAACTGGCTGACTTTCACAGCTCCTCCAGTAGCCTGTTTTGCTACATGAAGTCCCTTTGCTACAGTTGGATTGACTTCCACAGGTTTTTCTTCTGGTTGAATGTGTTCTCGCAGTTTAGAAGCTCCTTTGTGAATAGCTTTACCAGTATATTCTGCTCCTTTCATTAGGCCCCAGCTTACCCAAGATGCACCTAAAAAGCAAAAATTGCTTTTCTTAGAATGTACAATTTTACAGATTATGACTCCTACAGCTATCCCTCCTCTACCTCTGCAAGACTGACTTTAGAAACAGTCCTGATTACATAGACTGCATTTATACTCTTCCCTGAATGGGCCAGCATGAATTCCTACAGTAATTTCTGCTCCTACACCACTGCTTTTTAAATTAATTTTATTTAAGTTTAATACAGCCAGCCTTCATCCAAATGTCAGCTTAATACAGATAACCAGTTTTTTAATATATATCCAAGCCCCAGCTAGGTGAGAAGTGATAGAACGGCACATCTCAATGCTATTAACACTCATGAAAATATGCAACCAAACCCTCTAGCCCTCTTTGCAGATTCTATTTATTACAGTCAGCTGGTGGTCATTAGTATATTCCAAAGGTTCTCAGAGGAAAAAATCCCACGTTTATCTGCAGAAATCGCAACAGATGCCTGCTGTAATATAACTGCTCATACAGGGGTAAAATTGTTCTGTCACAATGGTCTGAGTCACAGGGGGTGATATCCTAACAGTGTCACGTGAGGAGCCAGATTGATTTGCAATGAACAAGACTGTTGGCAATGGAGATATATTCTACACTGTTTTTATAAAGCTTATCAAACCATCCTTTAGATGACTACAATTGGAACTAGTGAACAACTACTTTTGACCACTCAGCTTCTACCAGCACACATGCATGAATCAGCAGTGTGCCCAGGTGGCCAAGAAGGCCAATGGCATCTTGGCCTGTATCAGGAACGGTGTGACCAGCAGGACCAGGGAAGTGATTCTTCCCCTGTACTCAGTGCTGGTGAGGCCATACCTGGAGTATTGTGTCCAGTTCTGGGCACCTCAGTTCAGGAAAGATATTGAGGTGCTGGAGCGGGTCCAGAGAAGAGCAACGAGGCTGGTGAAAGGACCTGAACACAAGTCCTATGAGGAGAGGCTGAGGGAGCTGGGGTTGTTTAGTCTGGAGAAGAGAAAGCTCAGGGGAGACCTCATCACTCTCTACAACTACCTAGAAGGAGACTGTCGCTAGGTGGGGGTCAGTCTCTTTTCCTAGGCAGCTATCAGTAAGACAAGAGAGCATGGTCTCAAGATCTGCCAGGGGAGGTTTAGGTTAGATATCAGGAACAAATTCTTTACAGAGAGGGTATTCAGACATTGGAATGGGCTGCCCAGGGAAGTGGTAGATTCTCTGTCCCTGAAAGTGTTTAAGAAGGGACTGGATGTGGCACTCAGTGACATGGTCTAGTAACTGTGGTGGTAGTGGATCAAGGGTTGGACTTGATGATCTCAGAAGTCCTTTCCAATCCATCTGATTCTATGATTTAGTTGAAAATACTGTTTAAATGTCACTCACAGAGGTTTATATTCAACACAATGCTCTCATTACAACAGTACCTGACAAGATGCCATGGGCAACCTTCTCACTCCATTCTGGTAACTCTTTCTGATTTTTTGCTCCTTCAGGTGGTGGTTGGATATGTACAGTCTGAGGCAAGTTAACTGCATCATTAGAGGCTTCTGAAGGCTGACAAGGGAAAGTAAACATCTGAGAATCTACTTCGCAGCGTATCATGAAGATTTCTGGTTTAGATCATACAAAATCCGTTATCAAATAATACTAATGATGTGCATGCCTTGGATAAGTGTACAGAAACTCAAGGGAAATTTAAGACACAATTACTTTTGCACCGAAATGCTACGCATCCAGAAAAGTTTTTCAGATAGGTCAGCATTTTTCCTACACTTTCTTCATCCAGCTACAATGAAAAGATTTGCTTGCCAACACAGCCATATGGTCAAAGAGCTAAGTAGGGAAAACTTAGAGTACAAGTTTACTAGCACAACAGGTAAGAGACTTGTTCGTCTATCATTTTTATCTTCTCAGAGAGAAGTCCACTCTGTTGTTATTCAGCATAGGAACTGCAGTCTTTGGTCAGAGAATCCAGCTGCACTAAAGGAATGCAGCTGTCCTGGTTGTTTTTTTTCCTCATCCTTTGCTCCCAAATTAAAAAATAAAGGACATCATTCATGCTACGTGCTGTTGATGCTTTTGCAGACTGGCACAGCCAAGGCACACACCATGCTGTGCATGATACTGCTCCCTATTTAAAGCTGGGTGGACAGGTTCTGTGTGATTTCATGTCAAACACTACAGTTTCTGAAGTAGCTGTTAATCATTCAAACACAGCAACCACCACCACAGGCTGCTTAGTGTTTCTAAAAAGTGTAACATCACTTTACACAGATGACATACAATGTGTATTTAAACTTTAATTACAGAAAGCAAAAAAAAACCACTAATAGGTCTAGGTTTTTGTTAAGATTCTATTTTTAGAACTTTTCCAATGTAAAAGTAAATAAAACCCCAAAACATTTCAAAGATTGAGAACACTGCTAGTTAATGATAAATAGAAAGAAAAAACCTTTTTGTTTAGTTTAGAAGAGTCTAAATGAAAACATTATAGATTAAACCAATAGGCATAACAGAATACACAATATAGAATATTTGCTATTACATGGAATTCCTAAATTCCCCTGAAACATTTACTGGACATAATAGCAGCGTATTGCCCATAGCTGACTGCTGCAGTAAAACAAAAGCAAACTAACATTAACAGAAGAGTGTAGATTAAAACTTGGAAGGTTGCTACCCAGAAGGTTAACACTGTATCACTGACATATCGCAATTACTGCTTGACAGCAGTGTGAAATCTTGTGTTCAAGAAATGTTTTCAGCATGTGACCAAATTACCTCAATAAACAGCTACAGGTAAAAACCAACCAACCAACCAACCAAAAAAAAAAAAACAATTAAAAGACCCAGATGTTATTTATTTACACCACAGTTTGGGTCACTATATAGAAAAACTGTCAACACGACTTCTAAGGACTACACTAAGGAACAGAAATGGATTCTCTAATAAGACAGGTGACTCAGTACTATAATTATATTAAATATAGTTGTCAACTAGATCCTCATGAGTACCATGTAAAACAGACACATTAAATGGCTATCAGACTAGGCTTTGAAATATTTGTGCTATATCACAGTTTTCAAAACTGTTCAAATATGCTGACTTGAAAAATGTGGTAGCCTGCAGTAACTGAAATTGCTCTTAACAAAAAAACAACCAACCAAAGCAAAAAATACAAAAAGCCAAAACAGCCCAACAAAAAAACAGCCACACGACACAGCAAACATTGCTGCTGTCAATCAAATCAGCAGTTCTAACATGTATTCTAGTGACTATTTTATTTTGTTTACTATAAATTTTGGAATCACTGTCCTGGCATTTACCTGGACTTTGTGGTCAGACATCTGTTTAAATTTATCTTCAAAATGCGCTCTCTCAGTTGCTGGGAGCTCTGAAGATAACCCTAATCTCTCATGGGATCCTGGCACCTGCGATATCGTATCAGGGAACATTAACAAAAACGAAGTTTTAGGACAATAAGGAGCTAATGAGATATCCAATTTGAACCCCTACTATGCAGGAAAAATTACAGCATTTTATCCATTGAGTCCTGCATTGAAATAGCACATAATTCTGTAGTACTTTCTCCTTTTAAGTAAAAATTAGTGGCCACCTGTGCTAGTGAAATTTCCCACTGAACTCAACAGGATTTATCCCATAGCAGAATTTCACCCTCATGGCATGCTCCAAACTGGTCCTTCATCATCACTGTATTCAACTCTTGGTGATTCAACAAAATTCTCTCTTTCATGAAAACACATAATCTTGCTATGAGCTCTTAAGTAATTATGGATTACTACTCTTCCTGAAATGGTGCTCCAGTGCTCTTACAATAATATTTTGTACCTTGTTTCCAGTCACTGTATGTTACTGCAACTTTGTTAGACTATGGGGCTTTTTCCTACCTGTCAATATTTTCTCTACCTCTTAATATCTTACTGCAGTAAGGCACCAGATTTATCTGAGATCCTATCTGAGACAGATTTTTGAGGTACACACTATTTTCACAGATCTTTTCTGAGGCATCTTAACATTTTTGAACTGTAAACACATTTGGGCACCATATTCCAAACATGGTATCATCCAAACTTGTGTGCCTGTGTGCACGCACACACAGGGAAAAACATGCTTTCTCTGAACCTCAAATTTTATTTTGGGTTCTATGTTCTTTTTTGGAAAAATAGAGAAAATATAAAAAAATGGTCTCCAATTACGCTCTGTGCTTACAAATTAGTATTTTTAAAATTCTATATTCCTATCTCACAGGGTCTAGAGTTTCATTACAAAGCTGCTTAATCTTGGCTACTTTATCTATTTCTCATTGGTCAGCTTACCAAGCAAGACACAAAAATTTGCGGTTTTACACAACTAAATGTAAATGTGAGAATATATTGATGACTTATACCTCTCCTTATCGGTACAAACAGACAGCCCAGCAATTTACCTGGATTCGAAGGTCAGACATCTGTTTTAAGAGATCCTCAAACAGCTCTCTGTCAGCTGCTGGAAGTTCTGAAGACAGCACTACTCCTACATAGGACCCTGGCATCTGGGACATTGTGTCAGGGAACATGTAGACTCCAGTACTGCAGCACAGAACAGGAGACTGGTTACACATCAGAGGATACAACCAGTCACAAACCTAGAAAAGACAAGTACATGAACGAATTAAAGGAGGCTTTTAAAAAGACAGACAGAACATAGTGATATGCACCACAAACTTGATTTTCCATAAAGTTTCTAGTGAAATGTTCTCTGCCAATGGCAGGTGTGTTGGAATTAGATGATCTTTAACGTCCCCTCCAACCCAAACTATTCTATGATTCTATGATGAAAAGTAAAAAGCATTATGCCATCTTGGGAAAAAAAAAAAAAAAGGAAAAACAATCCCAAAAAACTACAACCCCATATGACTCTGGAAATACAACTCTTCATTAGTTCTGACAGTCTAATATAGAGAAAATATTAATTTTTACAGGACTGTAATTCAGGCTGGTACCCTCTTAACTGAGGTCTAGTCTTGAGGCCCAGGTATAGAAGTTAATGAAAAGAACTGCCAAACAAGTCAGGATTCACAGTGCCTGTACCATCCTGTAGAACTCAGGGCAGGTTTGTATGATAGGATAAATAAAATGTATGGCTGTCACTGGCCTATTGCTGAAGTCTGCTAACGCAGGTGGAGCTGAACCAGCAGACCCAAAACCAGGAAGGAGTTTTTCTGTATGTGACTTCCAACAGCCAATCTTAGCAACAACAAGGAGATCCAAAGTCAGAATCCACAACGTTCGTAACAGAACATGCCCACATGAAGCAAGCAAGGACTGAAAAAATACAGATAATGCATCTTTTTTATTTGTACTTCAGAGTCTGGACTAACATGGGCACCATTTCTGCAACATCTATAACATCCTTCATGTTATCATAAAGATATTTAGGCTTTGAAAAGCAAGAACTTAAGAAGATTTCCTGTTAAGAGTTTTATGACAGTTCCTGAAATTTTAATTAAAAGAGAAAATTATTTTCCTGTTACCTGAAGAAATGCAGGTGGACGATTCTGAGCCGCTTCACTATCTGTATCCAAGAACTTCACAATGCGCAGATATCCAGGATATGAAGGAGCACTAACCTGCCCATCAGGAGTCACAAAAAATATCTGTACTCCCTGGGGAATCAAGATCAGCTCATCTGCATCCACTCCCAGGTTTTCCAGGGGAGGTGGTTGACTACACTTGTAATAGTCCTCACCTACAGAAGAAAACTCCCCAGAGTCTGTGCCATAAGACACAGTAAAATGGCCATTGGTAGCTTGAGGAGTATAGGCAGGAGGTGCTTCATTTGGCAGACAGAGAGGTTTTCCAGAGGATGGACTCATAGCTGGAATTTGCCCCTGGCTCACAGCTGCAACACCTCCACCTGGTGCAGATGGCTGACTTGGTGCAAACAGATAATTAGGGGCAGGAGGTCTTTCTGGCTTTTCTTTGGATGGAATGGATGGGTATAACCTGGGCACCCCAGCAGGGGCATCCATCGTAGCAGGACTTGCTTGTTCAGGTGGGGTGTTTTGCTCTAGACTGCCAAGTCGAGCATGAACGTTTTGCAGGGTCTCCCTCATCTTCTGCTGCATTTGCCTGGCAGACTCCCACTGGGACCCTACACACGCAGGACCCTCTGATGGAATGCTAACTCCTCGGAGCAAGTGGTCAAGCCCTTTCTTATAGTAACTTCTTGCCTCTTCCTTCTGACCCAGTTCATCTGTATTCAGTCCTTTATTGATAAAAATAAAGGCGTTCCTGTACTCTTCATTAATAGCTTTAATATTTGCATCTTCTTGTGTAACTGGATCCTGCAGTTGTTCCATTACTGCACAATAAAATAAAAATCAATAAAAATATTCATCGATAAAGCCACACAATGTTTACCTTACAATAAAACGTCTTCTTAATGATGAACATACTGCATGTATTAGTAGAAATCTATCTATTTGCTTGGGACAGTATCTGATATGTAATAGTTATCTCCTAATTACATTCAGATTTGAATGATTCTAAGACAGCAAGGAATCTAAACCCAACAAATCTAGTTACATCAAAGACATTTATTTCTTAAACATCAGAAGAACATGGACATGCCTGATATTAAATGTTTCATCTTAAAGATCAGTAGCAAACAGAGGAGTAAACAAATAACTTAAAAAAGTCTAAGTTTTCCAGAAATATCTCTAAGGTATTAAAAATTCAGTTAACATTTTGTCTATTTAAATAAAGGCTGAACTTACAAACAGTACATTTCTATTTGAATAATTTAAGAGAAAGCAGTCAACAGATTTAAACAAATCTTGATCAACTTCAACTAACATCAACACACACAACTGGGAAACACTTTGAACAGTTAAAGCTGTGCTTTACAGAATGAAAACAGGGAATTACTTATTTCCTTCACAGTGTTTATAGAGTGAGAAAAGACAATTTGATTTACACTCCTTGCTCCCCGGGTGAAAAAAAATTGAAAGTATCAAAATGTACAGAAGGTTGCAGATTCTAGGTGTGTTTTGGATTGTATTCCTCAAACTGCCTCATGTATTTCAACAGTTGAAGGGCAGGAAAGAATATGGTAGGTTTATTTGAATTATAAAATGTGTAAAATCATTGTTTTAATGGTATGCAGATTGTCAGCCTTGGCCAAATGCAGAAAATACAAATCATTCTTGGACTAAGATAGTGCTTACAACATACAATGAAAAAAATGCTAGTGATCTGTTTTCTTGCTGACAGCCATGAGAGGCATTGTCAATTCAGAAAAATCAGGTAATTATACTAGAAAAGACTGTACCATGAACAACAAAAATGTGATACTATATAAAAACTGAAGAGCATATATTTTCAAGCAAAATCGTGATTCTCTGTAGAAGATGGATGAAAGAAAGGAGACATCTGTCAATCACGATATCAAGCTACAGAAAACATGGGGTTAAGTAAAATCCAAGTGCAAAAATAAAAACACTTCCACTGCACATACAGAAGCACTAACGCCCCCGTGTGCAGCACTGGTGAGAAGTCAGACAATCCTGAGCCACATTCAAGGAAGCTGCGCTGGAACAGGAAGAAGTGGGCAGAAAGTTACTGATTTTTTTCCTGATGAATTGATCACTTCTTCCTAGAGAGATGTAGGTTTGGCTTATCAAGCCAATACAACAAAGGCTAAGAGACTGGATTAGTCTCCACAAATATAATGGATGAAAAGAAGGAAGTAAATCAGTAAAGAAAAAAAGAATTATTGAAATTCAAACTTTTAATAAAATCATGAAATAGTACATGCATTTAAATTTATTTAATGTCTCTTCTTGCTTTAGTCTAATTATCAACAAAGTAAACAAAAAAAAAAATATATATATATAATCTGGAAAATATCCTTCTACTCTAGCGAAACCAGAGAAACTTAGGAAGTGCAGGTCATGAAAAGATTTTTAAAGAGGCAAAGATGAAATGCTGTGCTCTACTACCACACCCTTTGTCATCAAAATGCAGACAGCACTTCTGTAACTGATGCATCTGCAGTCACACCACAGAAATGCCATGTAATCTGGGATGCTTCTGTTCTTATGATGTGACAGAATCCAATTTTACACAAAAGACAAGACGTGTGGTTTCAGTCCAATGACAGACAGACATAGCTAGGAATATGAGAGGGATGGCCTGAGAAGGCAACCCACATGGAGCAGATCAGCAGTGACTCAAGCCACCATGCTCACAGCTCATTCCCCATCATGTAGCAGAAAAATGAATCTTGGGCTGTAAGAGATTTTTCCGATTGATTGCAGTCACTGCCAACAGGATCAGCATCTTTAATTTACACACTGGCATAAGTGTCTATTTCGTAACCTCCAAGGACATCAAGTTCAGACATTATAAGCATGCTTCTGACCAGCACAACAGCAAACAATTATAATGAAAGTAACTGGGAAGAACTCTCACAAGTTTGTGAATATAGCTGGGTCCTTACACAAAAGATTATACTTAATCATGCAATATATTTTATGATCTATACATGAACCATTTAGACAATGCTTAACTGAATTATTTGCTAGCAAAAAAACCCTGGCAACAACATCATCTTACGTCAATGCTTGTATTTACTACTGAAAAATCCACTTTTTTTTCAAGAAGAGTATAAAGGTGAAAAGTAATTTAACATCAAAGACCTCTGATTTGAGAATTGTAACAGAAAATGTTTAGAAAACTGAGAAAGGCAAGTTTATCTAACATCACAGTTACTTCTATATAAGCAAAATTTAGCCATTTGAGACTTTAAGTGCCTATATACCCAATGCTGCATAAAGTCCTTTCTTAAGACTTCACATAAACAATCATTTGTGTGACCACAACAGCAATTCCATTGTCTACTTTGCCCCATGGTTATTGATTTGTTTATTCTGGGTGAGGCTAAAGTGAAGATAATGTACAGATTTCAAATAATTCTTCTGCGAGTGATTGTTAGTATATAACAAAAAGAGACATCAAATAAAATCCTGAAGTCATAGCTACATTTCAACTTAGTTAATTAATTTACTATTCACTGTACACTTATCATACTGTCAGCAGCACTGTTCTTGCTAAAGCTCACTCTTTATTAACACCAGAAAAGGTCTGTAAGAGAACACTGATGTCAGCATGATCAGTGTCCACACAGCACTAGTGCACAGCGGAGGTACAAAAGCTGGCTCAGCAACTTGGAAAAGTGGGATTGTTGCAACTCATCTCTGATTGTCTGAAACATCCCAAATTTGCAGTATATGTGCAGTGTAGTTACTACCAAATTATGCATTTGGGTGGCAAAGCACTTGGAAATGGAGGAAGGAATTCATAGCAGATTTTAAGTTAAACACAACATGAATAAAAAAGCCCAAAGAGTTGAATTTCATTCTCAGTAACTTATTAAAACTAATAATGGATGGTACAAAATAAGCATGCCTATTTGCTCCCTCATAAGAGAACAATAAATACTCTCTGAAACAGGACATCGAAGTTGCAATCTGATCATATGCAAAGAATATCCTCAGTCATTACTATTTTCAGTGTATGACCTTAATATAGTATTTAAGTGTCCTGCATACTTTAGTATTTTTCCGTAATCCATTTCTGTACAATGCAGAGTCTCATTTCCTCTGTTTTAAAGCAAAGTGCATATGAGAGCACTGCAAGCCAACCTTTGGTCCTGTGGCCAGTTCAGATCAGCCCAGACCTATACTACTTAGTGCTCAATAAGATTTAGAGGAACTTGTCTAGGAGAAAGCAGGACCAAAACTGAGCTAAGAAAAGAGCTAACGGGCACTGTAGATAATCACGGATCAATCCAGTTCTTGAGCTCATTCCATAGCCCTTTCAGTCCAGATATACTCTGTGGTTTTAAATGTCTTGACCAAGGGAGGCTACAGTGCAACAGGGAAACTTGAATTTGATATCGTAAGCTAACATCTCAACTCTCTGGATAACCATTCTTCCTCTGAAGCAGCAAAACCCACTTCATTAAGAAGTGGCACAAGGCAAACATGAAGCCTAAGACTTACTAAGAGGATTAAACATCCTGACTGACAGAGGTAAGACACTCTTTACAACTCACTACTTTTGAAACGGGGAGGTATAGGGGAGGAAAATGCAAAACAAACAAAAAAAACCCCATACCACCCTTAATCCAAGAGCTTCTACTATTTGTCAACTGTTTTCTATTAGCCACTCATTAAGGAGAACTACTATGCAGACAGAATTGTTTAAGCCTTATTTCTGTAGGGAAGGAGCAATTAAGAAAGTATTAGTAACTTCCAAGAATTTAAAGAACAAATGTTATGTGGCATTTAGAACAATACGAACCAGGTACTAGCTAATAAATTTACCTTTTTATGCTTTTAATTTATTTAAATAAAATTGTTTAAGAAGCCCTTAAATTTTTCATTAAGTGCTGGCCTACAGCTTGTTTTTAAGCACCTAAAGCTAGATGATATCACAGACTAGACAACAGAGAAAGTCGGTGATCTGACATATGATAGTTATTCTTACTCTCAAAATTAAAAAATACTTCAGGAAACTCCCATCCTATGACATTTCAACCTACACCTCCTCAGGCTGGTATCCCAGCACCTACCTACATTCACCCTGCCAGCAAGTCTAACTTTCCTCTTCTCAGTCCTGTCTCAAGACTCCTGTCCTTCTCAGACAGCTGTCTCAAGCTGTTTATGTCCAAATAAATGAACTTCCTTCCCGATTCCTTGGCCTGTATCTCCATCACATGCTTTCAACGCAGAGCTTTTAGGCTACTTGGCACTTCTCTAAAAGGGAAAGTGAAAAACCAGTCGGGCAGATAACGCCCAGCACCGACATCGTTCAGAGCACCAACGTACAAAAACACTGCCTACCATTCCGTGGCCAAAGATTTCAAGATCATCATGGAAAATTTAGCATTACATAAGACTGCTATTTAATACTTTTTCATTAGCCGTGTGCCTGCCAGTTTCTGATCACTGCCAGCATTTCTACGCATTCAGCCAAATCAAAACTATCTAACACGAATCCTTTAAAAGAAAAAGGACAAAATACAAGGAGCAGTTATACAAAGTGTTCTGACAAATAACCTCTCGCTTCCATAAGGAGACACTCAATACATTATTCATCACCGCGATTACTTCAACCTGCCCTGATCACTCCTCTCCCTCCCACCCTCCCTCCCTCCCACCACCTGCCTACCGGGCCGCCCCGCGGGGCTCCCCGCGGCCGCCCGGCCTTGGCCCGTTCCGTTCCGTGCCCGCCCGACCTGAACCAACGCCTGCGCCCGCGGGCCCCGCAGGGAGCCCCGCCGGTCCGGGAGGGCCC